GACGTTCTTGATTCCTCATGTACGTGCAAATATGTTTGCTCTTGCTTTAGGTTCTCTTGAGATAAGAGTGCACCACTCAGTTGGCATCTCACGCTTGATTTATACCTACAAATATACCCTCTCGGTATCGCGTATCCTTACGATTTCATTGACCTCAAATTCACGTCATATCTTGAAAAAGAATATATTATTCAGGATTTTGTAGTAGTGAATCATATCTGATATGCTTGGAAGCAGAAGAATTTCTTTTTTTTTTTTTTTTTTTTTTTTTGTTGATTTGCCTGAAAATATGGAGCGCTAAGGGATGTTATTGTGGTGGTGGATATAGGTGCACTTGCTGGAAAAGAGCTTTGAGGCTGAAAACAAACTGGAGCCAGAGCGGAAAACCCAGCTGGCCAAGAAGCTGGGCTTGCAGCCCAGGCAGGTGGCCGTGTGGTTCCAGAACCGCCGTGCCCGCTGGAAGACCAAACAGCTTGAGAGGGACTATGATCAAGTCAAATCTTCCTATGATTCCCTTCGGTCTGACTACGACTCTGTAGTCAAAGAGAATGAAAAGCTCAAAACTGAGGTATAACTTGCTACTAATCTAATTATGTCCAAAACTGCAATTCAACCTCGACGAGACCCTTTGTTACTCTTCAGTGTTCGAGTCATCGCTTATGTTTCCCGATTGATTGGACTGATCTCTATCTGTAAATGTTTCGTGTTGGCTAACAGTTGAGTTTGTTACTACCACTACCACCCAACACGGTAAATCACGCATAGAATCTTATCGGAGGCTTCTTACTCACTAGATGATAAATTTTTCTTATTACTGGAGACAATGACGATTTGTTAATTCATATATTTCATACGTTGTACGAGGCCACCAATTGTAATCCGCATAATGAATGGGACCTTCGTGTGGATGCCCGTTCTCGGTGTCACAAGTTCAACAGTAGGATTCCCAATCAAATAAATGGAAGTTAGCATCTTTTCTTCTAATTTCTGAGGACCATCTTAATTTTTAATCCCTAAAGGAGAATATACCTCGGTAGTTCCTTCAAAATATGCCAAGAATCCTCCTTTTTAGATGAGAAATACCTGATGATGGAATAGTGGAAAAGGCAACAAATTCTATAATGATAACCATCAATTATATATCACTTAAAAGGCATCTGTGTGTGTGTGTGTGCTCTGTGGTGGGGGGAGTTGATTTTCTGGAAGAAACTGACTGCCAGGCTAAGATCATCAGATGAGCAAGTAAAAAACAGTGCATGTGATCTGATGCTTGCTTGGCGGAGAAGTGACCTCCTTGTTGCATCAAAACAGGTTCTTTCCTTGACCGAGAAGCTGCAGCAGGGCAAAGAGGTGGTTGTAGAACCCCGCTCAAAACAGAAATCTGATGCACTTCCAGTGGATGAGCTCCTTGCTTCGGACCCTCAGTTCAATGTGAAAGTGGAGGACCGCCTGAGTACTGGAAGCGGTGGGAGTGCGGTGGTAGATGAGGATGGTCCTCAGCTGGTGGACAGTGGTGATTCTTACTTCCCTTGTGATGATTACGCAGCTGGATGTGTTACTCCAGCAGCCGATGGTGTTCAATCGGAAGAAGACGATGGCAGTGACAATGGCCAGAATTACTTGTCCAATGTGTTTGTGGCTGCTGAACAGCAAAACCAGGAGGGAGAGCCGGTGGGCTGGTGGGTCTGGTCATAGGTCAATTTACACCGCTGTACAAGAAAACGCCGTAGCCTTGTATTGCTCCGTGTCATGTAATAGCAGTATATATTTCCGGTGGTCGCTTTTGGAGTCTCAGAGCAATTACTTGTAGGACAAAATGACTCCCCAGCAGAAGGTGACCTGTGTGTTGCCTGCGGATATAAAATTATAAATAAAAAAACCAAGTGCTTTGGTTTTAAGTGTTGCATGCACCTACAATTTTTTCTTTTTACTCTGCATTAAATTAAAGTTCTTGATAAGAAGAATTGGAAGGAGTTGGCGGTCTCTAGGTCTGGGTTTGGACGATGGACCTTTAAAGGGCCCCGATGAAATTTGATTGCTGTATCAGTAGTCCAACTAACAAGCGCCGCCCCGCATCCGGCCTAGAAGCTTGGCCCAGGACGACCAATTTTTTTTTGCTTTTCTTCCCCAGTCAGGTTCGTAGAATCCAAAAATTTAACTACAAATATTATAGAAGTGGGAACATAAGCAACATACGCGCACACACCGAAAAATATGTGCCCAAAAAAAAAAAAAAGAAGGAATCTATATGTTTGGATAGCAAATTTTTCCAAAATTATTTTCTATATGTTTGGATAACAACCTATAAAACCTCCTTTTATTCTCGTGTATTTTCTAGTTAAAGAAACATTCGGCGGATAACAATTTTCATTTCTTTGGCTTCACTGATAAAATATTAGATCTGATAATTACTGGCAATACTGTAACAGGTTGGCTCCCATGTGCTACTGTTACAAGTAGACACCCTCGCTGGGTTTTTATAAGCTTGGTCATGTCAATCAATTCCAACAATGTCACAACCTGTCCCTCGAAATTATTACTTATGTTACGTTATAATTTTGGCACCTATTCTTACGGATTGGAGGTTCCTCATGATTGGATTCCAGCATATTAAAGTGGATGAGAATCGCATTTTACCGCGAGGCTTAAAGAAGTGCCGATCTTCTGGCAAAATTGCGCACCAGAATTCAACAATTCAAAGGTCCTTTCAAACTTCAGCTATTGGCGCTGCTTCATTTGCTCTCGAGTTAAGCCTCAAACTTCAACTGCAAAACAGAACATGTCATATTCTCTAGCCTTTAAAAAGTAATAAAAATAAAATGAAAGCAAATAGCTTTATACAGACCTGTCAATGGGTCGAATACGAGTCGAAATTGAACATTATGGACCCGAATCGGCTATAATATACTCGTTCGCTGTCTTGTACTTGTAATCTCGTAACTGGGTCTGATATGTCTCGAGTCAGGTTGATCTAACTGATAAAAACAATACCTAACAAAATTTTGCAATTTGTATGAAACATTTGGGTTTCGTAATTTGGGAAAAGAAGTATTATTATATTAATAAATATTTATATTTATCAATTATTAATCTATTTAAACGGGTTCGGATCGAAATCCTATATTTCGCATGCAGTTGCCATTTTTTTTAAAAAATAAATAAGTACGAGTCCAAGTCTGATAATGGAATTATATTTCAACCCATATTTGAAAAAAAGAATAGTAGTTCTATCCCGACTCGAATCCAGACCCGAATCGTTGATAGGCCTAACTCTAGAACATAGGCCTATGTTTAGGTCAATCAAATATCTGATCGATCACTTGTACACATGTCAACATAAATTGGTTCAATTGATAAAAACGAATTGCTTCCGCATAAAAAATCATGTGTTTGAATCTCATTGTCGATGTAAAAGCTATATTGATAGACGATCTGTAAAAATTTTTGTAAAAGACCTATGATTCTGGAGGCATGTCCCGATCTGCAGTGGTGATCGGAGTCGAATTCATCCAAACTATTTTTTATCAAAAAAACAAAAAGAGATCACTTGTGCACGTGATTGAGATGTGCTGCAATAGTCTGTAACTATACTAACGTTGCGGTCCAGACCGTATTAATTTACTCCAGGACATGTTTTCTTTTTCTTTCTTTCAAAAAAAAAAAAAAAGATTTTCCATCAAACTCGGAATCCTATATCTTGATAACGTAACACGCATACGATACAAGGAGGATCATGATTTTGAAACAACAGAAAATTGAAGATCACGATTCCTGTAATCATTTTACTAATTGTAAAAGACGATCGAAAAGTTATAAAAAAGATTTTGTGTATTAATGCCTTGGCATGAGAAGAACGGATTAATTAATGGGGGTCCTGGGGGAGAAAGAGCAAGAGTCCTAGTCAAAATGATGCTGCATCAATTCAAAATTGCATCGCCCTGTGGTTGAAGCGTCAGTTCAAAATTGTGACCAGTAAACGAACACACGCACGCACACTCTCTCTCTCTCTCTCTCTCCCTCTCATCTCTATCTATTTACTACAAATAATTTATAATTGGACGTCGCCTGACGCCGTCGCGCTATTCCTACGTACTTTTCCTCACGGCGTACAGCCGTACACCAGTCACGAACCTTGGTGTTGGGGGGGAGGGGGATTGGTCTATCCCAGTTGGACTGCTGCAGTCAATTTCCAGTCGCATCTCCTCAAAATAAATTTTTGGCTGCTTAAAATTAGATGTCATTAATTTTTTCTCCAAAAGGATGATTCCTACTATTGTTAAAAAGATTAATTAATTGAAATAATTTATAGTTAAAAATAAATATTAATCTTTATATATATATATATATATATATATTAATAGTGCATCCACTAGAGGATGAATGCATACAAGAATTTAGCTAAATCTTTAATCAAATTTGCAATGATGCAGCTTTAGATATAGAAAGATAAAATACAAAACTTATTAAAAAAAATGATTAGTTTTAAAATTTAGTTAAATATATAAAAAGATTTTTTTCTTTTTCGAGTGATTCTAAAGTAATGTTTTTATTCTACACTCGCTGTGTATACATACATTGTCAATATTGAATGAATAACAATTATATAAAATTCAATTTTTACATATATGTCAGCGATTATGTATACACTACTATCAATCAGTGTATATAAAGTTTGTTCTTACTTTATATGCTTATTCTTTTCTCTAAAATCAATAATAGATTCGATAAACTTGAAATTTGAAGAAACGATCAAAATAGAAATAATTTTCGAATATTATTCCATAATAATTCAGAGAGATTTCAAACAGCAGGGATTGGATTGAAAGGGCAAAGTCGGGCTAAAATTAGGAGTGCAAGCCAGCAAGGTTGTAGGTACACCATTGAGCATACACTTTGAGAAGGCAGACACTTTGCAAGCGAATATCGCAAGGGGTAATTTAGGCAGAGTCACACAGCGGGTTTGATGAATTTAATAAGTCCTTCTTGACTGACTCTCTCTCTCTCTCTTTCTTCCCACGGCGGTCACATGTCAAGTGCCCGTGCTTGCCGGCCCGATTGGGGCAGCATATAGTAATACTGACAAGTAGCAAATTTCGGCCGTCTCACATGACACCGCCTTTCGCCGGTTACATACACTAAACACTAAATCCCACATAATCCCTCCCTTCCTCCTTTTTTATATATCCGAATGAATGAATCCATTCAACCACTAGATACACAATTTAACATCCGAATCCTCCCATCTCTTTCTTTTTAAGCATAAACTCTCTCTCTCCATCGCTTAACTTAATTTTTTTTTTGTGTCCTGCTCCGGCGCTTTCATATCTGCAGAAGTCGATCAGTGCATATCCTCGTCTGCGGTAATCTTTCTCGCTTTATCCACAAATTTACACAACTGGTTAGTTGTATTGCGTTTCATTCTAGCGATTTTTAGTGATGTTTTTTCAAAATGCTGTGTGGTAGTGCAAGAATTCGATGTTTTGTCATGCTGAATTTTAATTTCGTACCGTTCCTTGTCATTTTTCTTAAATTGTAATTGCAAATTCTACACTGAGATCTTCTTCATAGCGCGCTCGCACTTGACTTTTGTTCTTGTCACCATGCTTGCATTTTTTCTTTTCACTTGCTTATATTTCGGCTTTCTTCTTCTTCTCTGCTTTTCCTCCGAAATGGAAATGACAGATCTCTAGTTAGACGACTTTGCTGATTGGCAATTTTGTTTAAAACGAGAACGATACTGGATTTTCGTTTATGTGATTGTTGCTCAGTGCGATACGTTCCTGACAGATTAGCTTGATTGATTTTTGATATTTATGTCGGAAAAATACTCTGTGTCTTTCACTTCTATAGTCATTCGCTCTTGAACTGAATTGGCGGCGCTGTATGTTACTTGATCTGGTCTAATGAGTGTTACAACATAGTAATGTTGATGTGCATGTTACTTTGTGATTTCCTGGTTTGAGATTAATATTCATTGAGATGAACTAATTAGATAGAGATGTGCATTATGTTCTGTGAAGTCATTTCTCCCTTTTTTAATTTGAATGCAATAAATTGTACGCGAGTTGCTACTGGTCGAATACAAATGTGCTTGCTGTGGGCTGGATTTAACTATAATTTGGATTAGTTGAAGTACAGGAGTGAGTGCCCAGTGTTGGGCAATTTGTTTTCGAAAGCCTAAGTGTACACACCCAAGCTCGCAGTAGAGTCGGAAGAATTTAATTGGATAATGGAATGAGCCCTGTAGAATGTTACCTGATCAAGTGTTGAACAAGTGTATAATCTGCTGAAACCTATTAAGAAGGTGTCAGTTAGGGACTCTGATTTCTGGTTTATTTTGAAGGAGTTTTGACGAAAAGTTAATATCTCAGAACATTTCACTTTCTATTGATAGCATGAGTTTGCTATAAACATGTCAGATATGGTGATGGAGCGGAACAGGGAAAGTTGCAAAGCTCTAGAAAATCAATGATCCATAGGTTTGATATAATCTGGTTTCCATATATTGAACTTGAAGATTCAGGTTTTAAGCTATATCATTTTCACAGAAAGCAGTGAAGAACTAAAATGTAAACTATATAGAAAGGTCTTGAAATATGTTGCTTGCAGACTGTCATATTATCTATAGGATGCAAGGCACATCGAATTTCTGCCTAGATTTTCTCACTGTTAAGTGGCTCCACTTTTCTCTCTTGATGATGGTTCTGCTCAATCACTTCAGTATTGAAGAATTGATAGCTGTAGATATCAGTTTTATTCTTTTAGGGGTTCCTGAGCCTACATCATGTCTGAGAAAGCTCTTAAAGATCTCAATATGTTGCCTGAATCTGGAAGGAAGAACAAAAATACCAGTAATGGGAGCCTCAAGCCTGAGATCGAGCAAACTGGTGAAAATCTTGAAGACAGTCAAAAAAAAGTTTCTTCACCAGGGGTTGAGAATCCTATGAATGTCAATGGAGTAGGGAATTCTGTGCCGGAGGTGGGAAACTCTGAAGTGGAATACATTGAATCAGAGAATCTGAAAGATGTAGAAGATCTGGAAATGAGTTTGAAGGTATACGTGTACACAGATCATTTTGCTATCAAACAAAGCAGGTGTCCCATCCCTAGCTTGATAACTGACAGTAGATTCTCTTAATTGTTGGGTTATATCGAACAAGCTGTACAATCATTGACATTTTTGGTTTGTCTCAGACACTCTTAGCCGGACTAGACTCCAAGGATTGGGTTTTGGTGTGTGAGGCACTAAATGATGTAAGAAGGTTGTCTATATTTCACAAGGAAATGATGCTTGACATTTTGTAAGTTCTGCTATTCACTATGCTGACATGAGTAGAACATTGTGTGATCCATTAGTCTTTTCTTTCATATGAAAAGATGTTTTTAGCAATTCCTTACGATGATTCCAATTGATTTTTCTTTTGGTGAATAGGGGAAAGGTGGTTACCCTAATTGTGAAGTCCTTGAAGAATCCAAGAAGTGCTGTTTGTAAAACTGCAATTATGACATCTTCCGACATTTTCAAAGCATATGGTGACAACATAATTGATTCATTGGATCCAATGGTATATACAGTTCTTGCAATTTAATGTCTGCTGTAATGTGTTGCATGGTTCTCTACATGGTGGGTTTTCTCTTAATGTAGTTTCTAACTTTACTTTGTTTCTGGCATTCTGTTAACGTTTAGCTCGTACAACTTCTTCTCAAAGCTTCACAAGACAAAAGATTTGTATGTGAGGCAGCTGAGAGAGCTTTAGTCTCCATGACTACCTGGGTTTCTCCTGTTTCATTGTTGCCCAAATTGCAACCTTATCTTAAGAATAGGAATCCAAGAATTCGAGCAAAGGCGGCTATGTGCTTTTCTCGTAGTGTACCAAGACTGGTAAGAGGTTTATCTTTACCATTATTGAGTTTGATGCTGAAACTACCTTATTTTGTCTGTTTTTCTGCATAGTTCCTTATCCCGAAAAGAACATCTTCAAGTGCTCGAATTGTCTTCTCGTTTTTGCCCTTCTATTTGCTTATTGAAGTTGTTCTTAGACCATGTAGACTACACTTTGTTCTTGGAAGAATCATTCAAAGAAAGTCACATCGATTGATGCAGAATTGGATTTTAGGAAATTCTTATTGTACTATTCTGCTGGAGCCAAATTATGGAATGAAAATTTTGTGCAACAACATTTCTACTATCCTAGCACATTAATTGCTAACAAGTATGCTACGGGTCTTTCCTTCAGTTTAACACGCGTGCAAGTGGAGTATTGGCCTCTTGGCCTTGCAAGTATTGTCAACTCTGGATAAATTTAGTAGCAGCCAAAAAAGGGAGGGGCAAAAATTACTGCATTTTTCTAATTGGAGGAATAATTAAGTTAAATTCATTAATTTGGAAGGCAAAAATTTTAATTGTCTACTAGATGTCATTTCCTTTCCTCTTGAAGTATGGACATCTTGGACCATTGTGTTATGAGCTTTCTTCTCTTTTACAGGATATAGAGGGGATTAAAGCATATGGAATTGACAAACTAATAGAAGTAGCAGCATCCCAGCTAAGTGACCAGCTCCCGGAGTCCAGGGAGGCTGCTCGAGGTCTACTGGTGGAGCTACAGACCATGTACGAGAAATCTCATATCTTGAGTGCAAATGGAGTGTCTGACGATCGGGAGGTGACTTCCTGGGAGAATTTCTGTCAGACAAAACTTTCACCTTTAAGTGCTCAGGCTGTCCTTCGTGTGACCAATATTGTCCGAGAGGGTCTTGTACTTGGTTCCTAGCATTGCAATGCAGTACGTATTATAGTTTCATTGAGTGCTATATTTGGGCACTTCCCCATGCTTTCTTTTTTGTTCCTTATCCAACACTTGTATATACCTGAAAGTTTGAGATGCTTGGTAAGACAGTCCATGTCATAGTTGAGCTATAGATCCTACAACGATTGATACAATTGGTTTACCATGTATTGCTGGTTACAGAAACCATTTATGGTTGCTCAAAGCTACGGTCTGCTAGCAATTGATCTATTTTTGTCTTTCCAATCATATGTAACTTGATCAGTTAGCGTTACATTTCCTGGTGTATAAATCCCTTATCTGATGGTATTCTGCCTGAGAGTTTGTTTGGTTCTTAGCAGTTAATTTTGACAGTCTAATATGGGCTTGTGCGCACTTGCAAGTAGCAAGCCTGAAACCACAAACAAAAATGGTGTTTAATTTGCTTGTGTTGGAGTATACAGTATTCTGTTTTTTTTTTTTTTTTTTTTTGCCCTTTTCCTCCCAGATTCTTATTCTCTCTGTTTTTTGTGTTATTTTTTTGGCTGCCGACCTGGTTTCACTTGGACTTCATATTTTAGGCTTTTGGCTACTGGACTACAAACGCTTCTTTTCCTCTTTGTTTCCGTCTTTGTTCCAGTGTGTGTTACTTCTACACAACAAGGACGCAGAAAACAGTAAGAAGGCAAGATTTGATATAGCATACGTTCACAGTACCTCGACTCGCTGCTGACACTGCGCAAGGTACTGACGGAATTGAAAGAAATCAAAAGAAGCAGCCAAGCAGACACTAAAAAGAAAATTTTGTTCACTGTACAGTTGCCTTTTTGTTGATCTCTTCAATGCCTAAAAATTGTTTCTTTTGTTTCCCACCCACTCCGAGGACCTTAACCCAATCCCCCGCTACCATTAATTTATAGTACTTGCTTAACATGCAGAAAAGTGTATGCTCGTCAGCTGCTTGCCCAATTTGGGGACTATACTATACTTGCCACTGTTAGACAACCTGCACATATGTGTCCTACGGTTCCAATTTCTCTCTTAGGAGGAGACATAAATAAGTGCGTAGACTTGGATTTGGAGTTTGGGGATGATCGGAGAAGAATCAAAATATTCTGAAAAGGGTTGAAAATTGTCGGGCAGTTAGTGGGCATGGAAGAAGATTCTTGGAGATGAGAAATCAAGTATTGGGTGTTGCAACACAGGTTCCGGTGATGGCAATTGTGATACCCTTGGTCTTGTTGTTTGTAGGTATCGGCATTATAGTCGTAATTCATATCTGCATGGTTGGGAGGGCTTTCAGGAGGGGATTTGGGAACAGGAACAGCAGCAATAACATGGTGGTGGAGAGGGGGGGAGCTTGGGAGCAGAAGCATGTCCAGAGAGGAGTTGGAGAAGCTTCCTTGTTTCGATTTCAAAGCAAAAGAGATAAAGGGCGCCACTCCTAGTCCTAGTCCTGCGGACTGTGCTGTTTGCTTAGAGGGCTTCAAGGCCGGAGAGAAGTGCCGGTTGTTGCCTCTGTGCTGCCACAGCTTCCATGCGGAATGTGTTGACATGTGGCTTTTGAGGACTGCTCTTTGCCCCATCTGCAGAGGTAGTGCTGATTTTAACAGGGCTGTTGAAGAAAGTAGCCGATATGTAATGTGGCTGCTGGGGTTCGCAGAGATCAATTCAATAATATTATTGTTTCTGGAACAGAGGCGGGTACTTTACTTAGCCCCAATCAGTTAGTCTTGAATTTGATAGCTTGTTTCGTAGGTTAAGAAAAAGGCCCGTTAAATCAACTGGCCCAACTGGTGTTTCTGAACGGGGAATACTTCGGAGTTCCAACCTCAAAGCGGAAATCAATTTTGTACAAGCACTTTGGGAAAGGAAGCCCCACGAAGGAGCTCTTTAGCACTACTTTCAAGCCCGTGAGCTATAATTGGTCCTGCTCAGCTTGTCGGTTTTTGGAGAGACAGGTCCACCAGGACCAACCTTTTATATATATATATATATGTGGATATCGACCACATATATGTGAGGATAGAACCAGTATGTATATATGTGAGGATAGACGGATGCCGTGCCACAGACGATTCTAAAGTTCTCTTCTCCGCTGTATAGGGACAACACACGGGGAATGTCAGGACCAAGTTTAAGAACTCTGAGAGCGCCAATACAGTAGAATACTATTTTTAGGGATGAGCCTCACAGCCGAGTCTTAAAAGCAGCCAGGATTAGTTTCGCCGCGTGCCTACTTTGTGGCCTACTTTGTGACGAGCAAAATTGAGTGCATATTTGATGGTCGACGTAACTTGGGGATTGGACCACTGTTTTCAGTTATGAGTCGTGAGGGTAAAGCCGGTTTGCTTTATTTTGTAGCCACCGGATCGATCATCCGAGACGAAAGAAAGACGTCATCCTCTGATCATCAGATCAGAGGGCTACGTGTACTGTGGTTCAATAAACGTTGGTCCTTCTGGTGATAATTGCAGGATTGATGCCTGCATGGTAAACTTTTCCGGAGGACCCTCGTTTACCTTACTAGCAGTACACTGTATCACATGTTTCTGCATAACAATCAAGTTGATGCAAAGTGGATGAAAGTTGTTTTCGCTTTCTTAGAGGAGGAGAGGACAAACTCTATTCTATTGCCCTCGCAAGCTCTTTTTCCAATAAGGGATAATATCAGAAACCTCCCCTGAGATTTCACTTAATATCACCTATACCTCCATTTATTTTGTTATTTGTGTAACAAAAGTTTTAAAAATCCTAACTACCCTTTTACTTGCTAAATGAAAAATACTCCAAAGTCACTACTTTGTTTACTTGAAGAAAACTATCACTTGAAAAAACAATCTTTAGTAGCACTACCAAAATGTCACAATATTATAGTCCAAAAATATATATATATATATATTTAAAAAATTAAAAGATACTTATAAAGAAATACACTTGCACCAATTTAATTCTATATATTCAAAATAAATTTTTTGTGAACTTTATATTTTTTTTTTCCAACTTCTTTTCAATCCATGCCTAAACTTTTAAATTGTACTGATCATTATAAAAGTTAATTCAAAATAAACAATGAAATTATCCCTCATTCTATCACAATCATAAAAAGTGAAAGACGCATAAAATTCAATGGACTATAATTTACAAATAAAAAATCACAGTCATCAGAAAAAAAAATGAGTAAGGGAAAATGTTGGAGAAAGAAGAAAGAGAAGAAAGTGACTTTTTTTTTAGCTCTATTTATTTGATATGTGAATTATGTATCATGAGGGTTAATATAGCTCTTTATAATTATCAGGGGAGGTAAGTGATATTTTGAAAACTATAAAAGTATCAACTGATATTAAGAGAAATCTCAAGGAGGTTTATGATATTATCCCTTTCATTAATTAGTGCTGCTTGATTGCGTTCTTTCCTGTGGACTGTGTGTATCTAGCAGTCGCGTCAATTTTCAAATTGCCCATTCTCAATGATTATTTGTTGTGCCCTATTCCAAATGATTATTTTGTCTTGCTCTTTTTCCCTTTAATCTTTCTCAGTTTTCAGCAAGTTCAAGCGGGCGGAGGACATCAGGAGAAAAAAGATTATGAGTCCGTTTGGATTCTTATTTTTTGGCCTATTTTTTAAAAATTATTTTTCACAATCCAAATTCAAATAGCAGTGATTAGCAAGTTATCAAATTAAGGGGGCAAAGAGACTTTCGGGGTTCGATAGTACGAGGGATGTACTGCTAAATGATTTCACAAAAGCTGCCGCCGCCAAAGTTATTAAAATAAAATTTAGGTCAGAATTTGAAAGTTGAAAATAAGGGAGAAGAAGGTTCTAACGGTCGGCCCTGCCGCGCAAATAATAAACTGACATGTAACGTATGAGAGTTCCCTGGACGTAATTTTCACAACGACTGGACTTGTCGCTTCGCTTCGCTCTCGTTCTCATAATCAACGAGATAAATCTAGCACTCCATTAGATATAGTATTAGATATATTGATTTAAATTTTGTCACATCTTAGTTGTGTGTGTTTAATACTTGAATTTATGAGATATCATGATAAATTTTGAACCACTTAATGTATAAGTAAGTGGAATAGGTCTATCTAAATCTTTGCCTTTTCTCACACCCTTTCAATTATTCTTGCGATTTTATGAAATTTTTTTTTCTTTTAATCGTGCAAGTATCTAAATATAAGGGTGCAATAATATGTATTATTCCATTACACATTAAAAAGACTAATTTAAAACTGTCACTAACATGTATTATATATTTTTCTAAAGAAAACTTCACAAAATTATATGATGCCAAAGATCAATTTAGCAATGTAATATGAACAGATTTCAAACTTTAAGAGCAAAATAAATAAATAAATGAATTCCAAGCATCAAAGATGACAAAAAACTAAGTATAATTTCAATGTCTCGTGAATAAAACACTAATATTTCAACAAGTCCACTAGGAATAACTCATATAATCATCATAGAGAGAGTGAAACTTTCTAGTATATTTCAACAAAAGCATTATAGCATCTAGTATCCAAATGATACAATGGAACCTCAATTGTGCTCATCAAAAATTTGCAAATTTTAAATTGAAATAAGAATATGAAAACAAATTTAAAAAACAATTATGTAGATTTAGAAAAAAAAAAAAGCAAAGGTTAATTTTTTTTATCTTTTGGACATGTACGACATTTGTGCCCAACCTCCTTACATGTGAACACAAGATAGGGTAGGAAAAGAAATTAGGTCAGAGGTAATATGGTTTATCAAGATGAAAATGGATAATTGGAGTGCAAAAAACATCGCTCTAAATATAAATGCTTGTATTCATATGATAATAAAAATGATAACTTATATATAATTTATTTTCTTATTTGGATTGTCATTTTTCTAATTTTTTTAAATATATTTCATGAATATATTTTTAAGTACTTTTTTATCTCATATATATGTATAATTATAGAACTCTTTTTTTGTATACAAAAACTCAAAAAATGCATGGCTTATACCGTTCGTTAACTTGTGCTTGTCTTAGCGTGACAACTTGTGTAGTAGTCTTGTTTGGATTGCCAATTTTCTGAAGTTTTAGTAAAAAAATACTCCTATATATATACTATAACAATCTATATCTATATAAATTTGAGAAGGGAATTTTTAGCAACAAGTCTCCACGCATCTTCCCACTGTCAATTTCATTTTTCTAGCATTTCACATTTAATTTAATTTATATAATATATTCTTCTCAACTTTCATGTCTACTTTTCACATTTGAAATTATTGGTTACTTTTTAAAATAATTTCATTTTAAATTGTTGGTTAATATGCATGTCATCCTACTTGAACTTCAACCCATCACATTTCCAATTGCCTTGCATTATTTATAATTTTACAACAATTAAAACTTCTATAAGACTATAAGAAGAGATAACAAATATAGCATCTTTTCATGCTTTCTTATTAATTTAAATAAGTAAGATTATTTACACTCTATTTTTGTTATTCACACTTCAATAATCATTTTGGTTATATAATTTTCATTAATTAGACTAAATGATAAAACAAATAGTGGAATTGCAAATAATAAAAAATGGAGTGCAAATTATATTTTCTTAAGTAAAAAGTGGCTTTCATTCCTTTCTAATTTTAAAAAGTAGTGACTCCACTTATATAGAAATTTGGTTTGAAGTTTATTAGTGGAAGGGTAAACAAAAAGAAAGCATTGCCAAACTTAATAAAAGTAAAAAAGTAAATGACAATATTTTATCTTTTAACTTAGTAATCCTAAGTAAAAGGGCAAAATTAAATAAAAAATATTCATGAAATAATGTCATGGATTTAAAAAATAAAAAAATGGTACCATTCATGAAATCCAAATTATGAAATCATTAAAATAAAAATAAAGTACTACTAGCCTTTTAAAGTGGAATTTTTTTTTTAAATATTCATTTTTGATAAAAAAAATAATGATAATAACAATACCAATTCTACCAAAAATTTTTTAAAAAGTAACATTATAGTTTAAGAGAAAGGTATAGAACATTCAACCGTAAAATATTACTTAATTTGTATATATCTAGTCCAAATTTGACATTAGATTTGAATAAGAGTGCAAAACCCAAACACCAAGGATAACTTTTGGTATCATTAATTATTTATGTATTCTTATTGCTGTCTTCATATGTAAATATGTATTTGCTATGTTAAATTTATATATATATATATATATATATATATATATATATATATTGATTGTAGTACTTGAGAATATTATAAATATTATCAGTTTTTCATTTCCATTTTTAGATACTAGTAATTGCAACCATTGTAATCAATTTTCAATTTTATGTTTTCATTATGATAGGTAAAGTTAAATATATTTGGTTGCAGGGATATGAATTTAGAGATTAGATATAGGGGGAGAAAGGAGGAAAGAAAATGTTGAGAAGTTGAAAAGTGGTAGGAAAGGTTGGAAAGAAATATGGATTACAAGTATGGGCAGAGAAGGGAGAGAAGAAGAAAGGGGATTGCAGGGATATGACAAAAAAAAATTAATAGAAAGAATGATACCATAACAGAAGATATGAAAGTCGTAGAAGGTATTTGATGACTAGGTGACGGACAAGAGAAGAGGGAAATGATGGTGATTTTTAATAATTATGAGAATTCTAAAAACACATATTATGGAGATTTTTTTTTTAGGAAAAATCATCTAGAATGTACCTCACATTTTGTAAAATAACTTTTTTTGTCCCTCACTTTTAAAAGTGTAATTTTATATCCTTTACATATTCACATCGGACAAATTTAGTCCCTAACTAGGTTTCCGATCATTTTTTGGGCGGAATCCATCATGTGCAAGGCACGTGATCATTTTTTAAGGGTAAATTTGTCAAATTATATTTTATATAATCTGATCTATAGTCCTCCACAGTTTATAAAATAAATTTTTTCGTCCCTCACATTTTATAAAATGATTTTTTTATCCCTCACATTTTACAAAATGAATTTCTCCATCCCTCACATTTCAAAAAATAAATTTTTTATTTTTCACTAATTATGTGTGTGAATACTTTTTTTTTAAACACATGTATATGTCTATTTGATTTTGCTTAATAATAATGACATAAACACATGTATGTAATTGGACCCAACTTGTGGGTTATCTTCTCTTTTTGTATGATTATGACTAATATTTACCAATAGAACCTTATTTTGCATATTCTTATTGTATTCTGACCGAAAATAACTTTATTGGCCAACTTGACAATGAATGCAAGATTGTTTACTAGTTAATACCAGATGAAATCAAATGATCACGTATAATATATGGTATTCGGATTGTTAAGTGAAATCAAATAAACACATACATATATTTATGCTATTCGTATTATTAAACAAAATCAAATAGACATATACATGTGTTTAAACAAAATGTATTCACACACATTATTTTTTTAGGGTTTCCCTCACATACATAATTAGTGAGGGATGAAAATATTCATTTTTTGAAATGTGAGGGATGGAGAAATTCATTTTGTGAAATGTGAGGGATGAAAAAATCATTTTATAAAATTGAGGGACGAAAAAATTTGTTTTATAAAATGTGGAGGACTATAGATCAGATTATGTAAAATATAATTAGACAAATTTACCCTTAAAAAATGATCACGTGCCTTGCACATGATGGATTCCGCCCAAAAAATGATCGGAAACCTAGTTAGGGACTAAATTTGTCCGATGTGAATATGTAAAGGATATAAAATTACACTTTTAAAAGTGAGGGACAAAAAAAGTTATTTTACAAAATGTGAGGGACATTTTGAACGATTTTTCCTTTTTTTAAAATATACTTTAAAGTTTATGAAAAATGCTAATCTAAATGCAATCAACAATTATAGGGGCACAATATAGGAGAAAGATTTTTTTTTTTCTAAAAATGGATGAAAATAAACTGGTTATAATTAATTTTTTTATATTATAAGTATTGATATATGGGTATAACATAATATATTTTGTCGGATATTGATATATTGATTTATTTTAAGAAAACTCTTCTCATCTTACCACCGAACCTAACCCTCTCCTTAAATGCGTTAACAATCCTTTTTTCATGTAAAATATTATAGATTAAATTTTTTTTCAAAATATTAAACATCACTTCTTTAAAATTTTTAGTATATATGTATTTATTATTCTGTATCATAATATATAAATATATACAATATTATTTTAATTTGAAATATAATCCCGTGCATAGCACGGGTCAAAACACTTGTTTAATAAATGTGAGATAAAAATGTGTTCATGAAAAAACATGTAGTTTCTTTTTCTTTTCTTTTTTTTTTTTGTTTGGCTGGAAAGGGGGACCGGCAACTTCAATAATGGAGCGCCCTGGGGTCGTTTGTGAATTAATAATATGCCACGGGGCACGCTTCTAGAAGAGTCAATGTAAACTCACATCTCATAAATGACAAAGATTGGCTCAAGCGGATTGGGTGTCCTTTTGATTCATCAGCTGCCTGAGCGGAAAGAACCATCCAACAAACACACGCATCTAGGGATGGCAACGGGGCGGGGTTGGGCGTGACGGGGTTGGGGCGGGGGACCACTCCCCCATCCCCCGCCCCGTTGCCTATTAGTTCCCCCCGTCCCCGCCTCCCGCTCCCCCGCCCCGCCTTGCCCTGTTTTCCTCGCGGGTGCCCCCGCGGGGTTAATAAAATTTTATTATATAATTTTATTATAATTAAATTTTAATAAATAATCAAGTACTAAAATATCAACACATCACCAAATTATTATTCATTGTAATTTTACAATTGAAACTCATAAAAACAATCAAACAGAAGTTATTTGAATACAATCCAATATGATGAAATAAATATAGCTAAAATAGTCAAGTTTTCACTTTTAGTACAAATGCAATCACTAATTCATTATTATGTTTGTGCTTTTTTTTTGAGAAAAAAGTGTTATTCTATTAAGTGTAATTAGAAATTTAGTATAAATGTATTAGTAAATTTAGTATAACTAATTAATAAATTTTATTAGTAGACATATATAATTATTCATATAATTGATAATATCAATTATATTACATAAACTACTATACATTATATAATACATCTAACTAATAATATCATTATCATAAGTTTATAACTAATTAACTTACATATTATATATAATTATATATATATATTTTTTGCAGGTGGCGGGGCGGGGGATGGGGAGGAGGTATACTCCCCCGTCCCCCGCCCCAACTCCCGCTCCGAGAGCCCCCCGCGGGCACCCGCCCCCATTGCCATCCCTATACGCATCCAATACCTTTAAGGGCAAGTTCGGAGGTCCGGTGGTGGTTCTGTCCCCATCGATCTCCTGTACGATCAGTTGAGCCTCCCTCATAGTTAAAGAAGTTAGAGTAGGAGTAGGAATGACAATTGATAAAAAAAAAAAAAAAAAGAAGAGCAAGTTCGGTGGTGAGTGTCATTCACTAGCCACACCGTCAATCGCACGGCCTCCGTTAACAGACCATCCCACCCACGTGGACATCCACGAAAACATTATTAATTCTTGTAAAAATATTTTTCAATCATTTTTTTATTTTTCACATATATATATATATATATATATATATATATATATAGACCAAATCGTTATAATATGTTTTTCTATAAAAATTTCAAAAAATAGCAATCCAAAAATGACATTTTTCTATATAAATTTCAAAAAATAACAATCAAAAAATGCTTACTTGTAGCATTCTTGTTAGTTTCAAACGCTTCAGCTTCGCATCAATTGCATCACAAAATTTTAAAATAAATCAAACAAATCAAATGCTAGAAGCTTTACTTTTGGGTTGCGACTTATTCATTAGCATCCCGAATCAGATCGCGGTCCCCGTGCCAGCCGGAGCTGCTTCCTAATTAAAGACAGCTTATTTAAGTTTTTCTCCTTTTTTTTTTAGGGTCTGCTATTGTTTGAGATTTTAAAAAATCATAAAAACGTCTCCAACTCAAATCAAGGATGAAAATATATAAAATATAGTGATAGGATGAACATAAATTTAAAAAAAAAATAGTGGGTAAAATAGTCTGTAACTTTTAAAATTACAGTATATGTAAATTTTTTTTTTTTTTGGGTAGAATATGTTACATTCTGATATTTTCTTACAACTTGCTAATCCGTGTAGGTCTCGCCACGCACCTCAAAGGCTCAAACAAAAATCTCTTCGAACCCACCACCGTTGAAGGTTTGCAAAGTATATGGTACCTTTTTTTTTTCTTGGCAGGAAAAGCTAGGAAGACTCCGGAGAGGAGAGGCAGCACAATTCACACTAGGCGTGACATGGGTTCTTCTTCCGGTTCCGGCCAACATGCTGTCCTGTTCCCCTTCATGGCCAAAGGCCACACCATCCCACTCCTCCACCTGGCTCGCCTCCTTGTCCATCGCAGCTTGACCGTCACGATCTTCACCACCCCAGCAAACCGGCCTTTCATCCTCAAATACCTTGCGGACCTGATCATGAAAAACACTACTACTAGTACTGTAGGAGTCTCCGTTATGGATCTCCCTTTCCCTGAAAGCATCGACGGAGTACCCCCCGGCATTGAAAGTACCGATAAACTTCCCCACATATCTCTTTGGTTGCCTTTAGCAAGAGCCACGCCCCTCATGCAACCCCATTTCGAACAAGCCCTGACTTCCCTCCCGCCGGTTACTTTCATGGTAACAGATGGTTTCTTGGGTTGGACCGTCCACTCCGCCAACAAGTACGGCATCCCCAGGCTGGTCTACTACGGCATGAGCAACTTCGCCAGCACATTATCCAGGGTCGCGGGGGAGAGCGGACTTCTCTGGAAGACCCAGTCGGCTGATGAGTTGTTTGCGGTTCCTAACTTCCCCTGGATCAAGCTCGCCAGAAATGATTTTGACGAGTCTTTGAGTGACCATGAACCCAAGGGCCCATTTTTCGAGTTCATCATCGATTGCACCGTTACCGCTTCAATGAGCTTTGGCCAACTAGTTAACAGCTTTTACGAGCTGGAACCAGTTTATATAGATTACTGGAACCGCCATTATGAACCGAAACTGTGGTCAGTAGGGCCTCTATGTCTGGCCGAGCCACCCACACCTAGTCCAGAGCATGAGAGTTCATGGATTGACGAGTGGCTGGACCGAAAGCTAGACCAAGGGCAGGCAGTTCTTTACGTTGCGTTTGGATCCCAAGCGGAGATATCAGCGGAGCAATTCCAAGAAATCAAAAGCGGGCTGGAGAGATCGCAGGTGAATTTCTTGTGGGTCGTCAGGAAAAATGAATCGCAACTCAGCGATGGATTTGAAGAGAGAGTTAAAGACAGAGGTCTGATAGTCAGAGAGTGGGTCGACCAGAGGAAAATCCTGGGCCACCGGAGCGTTGTGGGGTTTTTGAGCCATTGCGGTTGGAATTCTGTTCTGGAGAGCATATGCGCCAAGGTTCCGATACTGGCTTGGCCGATGATGGCGGAACAGCCGCTGAATGCAAAGTTGGTGGTGGAAGAGATTAAGGTTGGAGTAAGGGCGGAGACGTGGAATGGGTCGGCCAAGGGGTTGGTGAAGTCGGAGGGATTGGAGAAGGGTGTGAGAGAGTTAATGGAAGGAACACGAGGGCAGGAGGTGAGGAAGAAGGTGAAAGAAGTTGGAGAAGCGGCCATGAGGGCCGTCAAAGAAGGTGGGTCGTCCTGGAACACGCTGAATCAGCTCCTGGACCAGTTGCAATTGCATGCAAACACACACGCTCAGCCAAAATTTACTACTACTGCTACTGCTACTATTTGATGAGATGAGATGAGGCGCTATCCTAAGTGATGTTTAAGAAACTCAACTAAAGACTTTACCCGTCCTTTTGCGTATCTTGTCCTAATTGGTTTCCATGCTTGTTCTCTCTTTTCAGCTTCATTCGGGCCGGTCTTGTAAATCATGTAGCACTGTCTCCTCTCCATTTTCCTCTTCCCTTAGCTAATGAGTGGGAAACGGGAAAGGAAGGGAAGAACTGCATGCTTTATGACAATTTTGGTGCTAACCAGACCAGACCTAGTGCATCATCCAAGTCCAACAAAAAAATTGGGTTAATTACAGTTTGACTCCTTGAACTTGACCCTTTGTGACACTTTCACCCCCCAAATTTCAAATATATACACTTAATTAGCCTCCTTTATTGACCAATCAATTGTCAATGACAAAATTTTCGTCCAAAATTTTTGACAAAATAACAACATTAATGCCAAACATAACAGCTGCAGAATAATGCTTTACTTTCAATCAAAATATGAAACATCTTATTAGAAAAAGAAAAAAAAAAAAGCACGTAGTCACATGATATAAAAATAATAGTAATAAAAGACCATAGGAAAAAAAAGTGTGTTGCAGAGTAAAAAGAATTTAAAAATTTGCAAAACTTCTACACGAGTCTTTCATCGCTCCTCTTTCTTGCTTTAAACTATAAACGGAGTCGTTTTGATAATTTTCGCTCACCTTGCGACTTTTCCTGGATGTTTACAAATCAATAAGATGTGAATTAATGTTTTTTTATGCCACAATGCCTTGCTTTATATTTCATTTGGATTTTACATTATTTTGCAAAAATATAAGATTCTTTAATTACATTTTTTAGTTTTTCAATCACTTTTTAACCTGTATCAAATACATTAAAGAAGTGCTACAGAAAATAATTATCAAACACTAATATTCATTCTAAATTTTTTATTTTTATTTTTATTTTTATTTTTGTGTTTGGGGATCAAGGAAAACTTTAATAGTATTGCAATAGGAATTGGGCGTCGGTTGGAACTTTGCGACTTGTGACTTGCGTTACATACCCTTTTTTTTTTTTGGGTTAGCGAAAACTTACAGTACATATAGTAGTAGTATGGTACTTGCTACTTAATGGGCCTTGGTGATTAATTCAATAGGGCCGCAAATGTAAAAAACGCTCGCGCCCATTGCTGCAGCCCCGGCACTTCATATCTGCGTAGAACTGGGCGGCAGGAATTAATCGTTAGACTAAACATGAAAGAGGTTCTCCCGGCATCCCTTTCCAATGCCAAAACAACAAATGATGATTGATCATCTCTGCCATGACAAACACCTGACTGCACGTACGTAACAGCGGCCAAGGCGGAAATACCATACCACCGGTCCATCAGCTCACGGTGCTGTCTATTTGCTTACTTCGATTGTACCATAATTGATAATAATAACCAATCTTTGAAGAAAAACGACACAAACAGGCTTCTTCTCACATGCATTCATGCTGGCGTGGTGATGCACGGAGAATGGCTGCACAACTTGGGCGGCTGTGGACTAATTAGATGGGAAATTTCAGTGCGGCGACAAAAATTAAGACGAATGAATCTGAATCATTCACTTGTTTTAAAGAATTCAGTTTCAGTTTGAACAAATTTCATCCGCACAAACCCACCCACCCACCCACCTCCGTATCTCCTTAAAAACCAATTATCGGCCTATACCTCTTCACTTTATCCTCCAAAAACAAAACAAAAAAAAATTAATCAGCACAACGTCAAATCCAAGATGAGCACGTCTGTGTTTAGTGCATTAGTTAGAGAGTGGAGATATGGAATGCCACTCATGCAATGAACGTGCCATATGATTGATCAGGAAAAAAAAAGGGGGACTTGGCATTTGGACTTCTTTCTTTGATCTTTCTGGAAGGTGCACGCATTTTTGTCCATTCAATCATCTAACTTCAATCTAACCACTGGGCCAATGGCTCAGTAATCACCGGGGAGGGACTTAAGTCCCTCATTGGGCCAGCAGCAAAAAAAAATCTCAGGATTGTGTCATTGCACTCTCTTGGTCTAGTTGGGTCTATATACCCACTAGCCCCTACAACAGCCTCCTTAGGCTCCCCCTCCCCCTAGATTAGAATAGAGCCTCCCCCTAGATTAGAATAGAGTAGGTTATACAAATTTATCGTTGCTGACAAAAAAAGAAAAAAAAAATCACCTAACTTCAATCACGTATTCGGGCCCGCCCCTCTCCCCCCACGGGGGGACCATTTTGCCAGTTTATTATTATTTTTTAAATCGACACCGACTAGATTTGCTCTGAAAACATAAATAATGCCCCCACAGTATCTCATGGCGGATATTGTGATCTCACCCTCACTTATTACTTAACGCTGCACAACTGATTCCTGTAGCTTGCCTCTACTGCGCCTACTTAATATCTGTCCCAAATTATTTGTCATATTTAGAGATTTTAATATTTTAATAATAGTAATTAGATGATGATATTAGTAAATTTATTTTCAAAATTTTTCTCTAAAATTTAAATTTAGTGTAAAATATAAATAATTATAAGAATAACATTGAAAAAAAAAGAGAGATCAACAGGACAGGAGTTCTGATCTTAATAAAATGACAAACATCTGGAGCGTTGACGTAAGCAGTATCTTTAACACCTTGGCATGAATTCAACGGGTGATTTGGAATTTGGGCAAATCACGAGGAAGATTCTCCGGACTGGGTCCCTCTGCGGTTGGTAAAAGAACTTCCCGCCTCTGGTACTGGTAGGCGATTGGTATTCGAGCCGGATCAGTTCAGTTCAATCGCCACCGTTCATTTGACGCAGGAATAAGATCCAGGTTCTTCTGTTTTTTGGCCAAATTTGATAGATGCAAATGTAACTAATTCAGAAAAATAAAAGAAAATTACAAAATAATTACTTCGTACAATATTTATTAAACTTGGTTCAAACCGACGGTTTAACTATTAATTCGTTGAATAGCCCACTTAATCAGACTGGGTCTTTGTCTAACTTGTCAACAAGCTAGTCATTAAACCGACAATCTGACCTGTTTATACTTTATAGCAGTGTGTTTGGATTGTAATTTATTACATATTATTTACACACATTAATTTATTTGTATTATCAACATATTTTTCAATCATTTTTTAACTGGCATATATCATATCAAAAGAATGTCACAATTTTTTTTATAAAATTATTTTAAATAATTTACTATCCAAATACAATAACATATTATTTTTGTGAGTGAGAAAATTTTTAGTAAGGTGTTGCAGTAGTTGTTCGATCTAGGGGCCTTGTATAGGTAAATAGAGTGCACTGACCACTAGGCCGCCAGTCTACTCGGCTGTAACCTTTTTCATATTATATAAACTTTTTTAGCCAACTCATTCCTTATTCCTTTTTTTAAAATTATTTCTCTAAAACAAAATTAATTGGAATCTTTTTAATAAACCCAATCTCTATAAGTCACCAAATGGATTTCAAAAGTAATATAGGAGTATTATATATAATTCGTTTTAAAGACAAATTTTGTTCCTAATAAACTTTTGCTCTTAAAATTCATAATTAAGCTAGACAATTACACCAAATACAGATAAAATTTTACACTCGAGGATATTTACTTTGGCATATTTTATCAATGCCTAAACCATATACCCTATACTAAAAATATGAGATATTATGTTCAGATATATTTAATGACCTATCCATTCAATCACTTACCTACTAATTGAATCAATAACTGATTGATCCACTTATTTTTTTCGAATTTTTCACTGAGTTATATTCAATAGTTACGTTCTATTCTACCTGTCAGTCGAAATGATTACAACAAAAATATTGGGAATAATATCAAAAACCTCCATTGAAATTTCTTCTGATATCATTTGGCAATTCTAAAGTTTTGAAAAATATCACTTCCCTCTATTAATAATTGTAAAAAGACCATGTTAACTCTTACTTGATACATAATTAACATACCAAATAAATGGAGTTCAGAAACATAAAAAAGAAAACAAAATTCACTTTCTCACTTTCTTGTTTCTTTGAGATTTTTTCTTACTCATTTTTTTTGATGGCTATATGATTTTTTTTCTCGTAAATTATGGTAAATTGAATTTTATTTATCTTTTATTTTTTGTGAGTGTGATAAAGCGGGGTATGATTTTTTTATTTATTTTAAGTTAATTTTTATAATGATTAGTACAACCTAAATGTTAGGGTCATGGCTCGAGTAAAGTTGGAGAAAAAAAATATAAGATTCACAATAAATCAGTTTTGAACATATAGAATTAAATTGATGGTAGTATATTTATTTACAAATATCTTTTTTATTTTTTAAATTTATATTTTTATGGACTATAGTTTTATGATGTGGTGGTATTATTACAGATTGTTTTTTGAGTGATGGTGTTTTTTCTGGAGTAAATATAGTGGTTTAGAAGTATTTTTGGTTAGCAAAATTAGTAAAAGGATAGTTTAGGATTTTTTAAAATTTTGTTATACAAATAACAAAAATAAGTGATATTTTTAAGGTGTTAGGGACGCTAAGTGATATTAAGAGGAAACCTCAGGGAAGGTTTCTGATATTATCCCGAAATATTTACTATACCATTAGGACCCTGTCCCCACCTGAGTCAACCCGTCCGAGTAACAGAGTCCACTGAGTTCCCTGTTCCGTTCCTATTCGAAACTCTTACACGTTTCTTTCAGCCTTCACTGTTCAGGGCCCACAAGTCTGCTACATGTAGTCCATCCTGTCCTCCTCCTCCTCTCCGTTTTTTTTTTTTTTTTTTTTTTTTTCTCCCTACCCTTCTTCTCAATCGGCAACTCACAGTCCGACGCATCAAGAATATACCAGTTAGTGTCTGCACGCTTGACAGGCTCACTCTCTCCCTCATCTCCTATGTTCCTCCATATCTCAACTCCATTCAATTTAATTCTTTTCCATCTTAGAAAAAAGCTTAAAAAAATAAAAAAGTGGACGGAGCCAGAGCCAAAGCCCCTTCGGTTCTTTTACAAACTGATGATAAAACAAACAGCCCCACTCCCACCTTGAATATTCTACATTTGCAGCGAGCTGGACAAACACAAAAACATATTATATAGTAGAACGGGGCCAAAGCCTCCCCGGTTACTGAGCAAACAATTACACAAAAACGCCCCCACAGCAGTCAGATCCTCGTCAGACAATTTTTGCTCGCATTTTTTTTCTTTGTTATCTATACACGGTTGGGCCTACTTCTCGTGATCAATAGAAGATTTTCTGACTCAATGGTGGAGGGATTCTTTTGATTTAGTTGTTTCCAACTCAACCTTCTTA